ATGAAACACTGGAACTGGAGGTGTATGTGTGTTAGTGATGCTATGAAGTTTAATGGATGAGGGAGGCCTTTAGGAAGGCAAATAAATTCAGTGTCTTGTTCTGCTTAAGACTTAAGATCCGAGGCCTGGTACACCTAACTTGGTACTGTCAAAAATGAGCCAGGCTGGCTAAGTTGGAGTCACAGTTAAGCTGGAGTGATGGTTTGAGGGAAGCAGGCTAGAGGGTGCTCTTGCACCTCGGATCCGAGGGATGAGGGGCTGGAGGAAGGCAGTGATGCAGCTGAGAACAAAGGGATGTGTCACGGCCTCAGGTTGCTTGCCGAACACAGTCGCGCTTGCAAATTGCAGGCACCTCCTTAGGGCAGCTCCTTGATCCCATCGCACTGTGTGAGTAAGCTGGGAAGGGCTGGGCTGAGCAAACCCAATGGGGCAGAGGCACCCTGGTCCTGCACGTTCCCTGCTGTCTCTCTTGCCTTTTCCCTCTGGGATTTTCAATACCTGGAGCAACAGTTGTAGCTCCCTTTAATCCTGACTCAACTGCCAGCCCTGCCTTCCCCCCCCAGCCTAAAAGCATTTATATCCTTAAGCAGTCACTCCCCAGCTGGATCACTACCCAGACCAGTATTCAAGTAAGCCACAAAACTGGTGGAGCTGTCGCCACCTTCCCAGCCTGGCAAAGATACTGGATGTTTGTTTTATTCATGTTCTGTTCCTCACTGGGGCAAGCACAACTTGTGTTCTACATGGCTTCTACGACTGTGAAGACATCTTCACCGGCTGCTTTGTCTCATAGAAAGCTAGCAGGGCAGAGAAAGGGTGACACCAGGTTGGGGGCATGCATGTGTTTTAGTTGGTTTTGGTGCAGAGAGTTAAATGAGTTCATAGAGAAGCCTGTGAAGTGATGTTCTGTAGTTACAAACCCAGGTGAAGCTTTAACAATGCCATTGCCCTCCCAGCTCTTCCTGCTGAGTCCTTTTGCACTGCACACACTGCCTACAGGGTAAGTTTTCATTGAGGCTAAAAGCAAAGTAAAAACCTTTCCAAGAAGCCAGTGTATTAAGGAATGAATGAATTTTAGCTCTTCCTGACACACAAGTTCACAGCTTGCTGCACTCTGGTTAAACACAGGGCCTTACCATCACACTGGGGTTATCCCTGTATTTAGTTAGATACGCTGCTCCTATTTTAGGGACTTCACTTGTAATACTGTGCAAACAAAGTGCTTTACTAATGGCCAGCGATCTCCACGAGAAGGCTTGGGGTTTAAAGGTACCAGAAGCGGTCCTATGTGAGAGCTTAGTAGGATTTCATCATGCAAACCTACAGACTAAGGAGAGGGAAGGATGTCGACGTGTTGGTGGAAAACCAGGAGCGGCTATCCCAATAGAAGGGGCAGTTTGGGATGTCTGAGCTGGGAACAGCTTTGCTCTGCTTCCTTCATTTCTCATGATCTATCCCCCAACTCGCTTTATAAGGGTTTATGAGGGTTTAGGTTTGGGAATCAGTCCTGTATGGGATGCTGGTGGTTTATTTATAAAACACATCCCGCACTTGCCAAGCTCAACAACAGCTTTATGGAGAAACGGAGGGGTGCCAGTGTGGGAGAGGCATGTGATCCCTGCGGACATGAAATGCAACTATTATCGCTAAACAATTTAAGAGATGGCCAAATAGTTTCCATGCTGGATCTATGCAGCCAAACCCACCTCACCCTTAGAAGTAATGCAACTTAAGTTGCTCAAATACCACAGTCCTAGAAGAGATATGGAAGCAGTGACTGAAGCCAAGAGCTCGGCTCTTGGGGGTTTTGAGGCCAGGATTCTGCCTGTGCTGCTTTGCCTAAGATGGAAGTTGTAATTCCCATTTCCAGGCTAACAAAGAGCTCGTGTGACCTTGTCCCCAGTAGATGGTGGTGTTAATGCTGTTGTAATAAAATACAGCTGCCAGGATGCACCCAACGTTGCAAAAGGGCTTAAAAAACCCACTTCTCGTGTCGCTTAGGTTACACCCTGCTCCTGGAGAGAGGGATGCATGGGTTTAGCTGTCCTCTGAGCTAATAACCAGTGAGGCTTAAACTGCTCCAGCCCCTGCAGTACGACTCACACTGGTGTGCTTGCAGCAGGACCTGTTGGCTGGCTGCAGCCTCTCCAGACTTCCCAGGATCCCTGCGCAGGAAAGGGAAAGCCAAGGGAAGCATCTACAGCTTTTGCATTTCCTTCTTTCCTAAACACCTTTCTGACGAGCATCTGCTCCTGGCTCTGTGTAAGACAGGACCCTGGCCTGGGCGGGCTCACTGAATGCATCACGTCCTTCGACTCGTGAGAGCTCACCATGATGGATGTACCCATCAAAACAAGAAAGGCTTGACCCTTGTGATGGCTGAAGCCAGGGGAGCACAAGCTGCTTGTGCCTTTGAAGAGCAGACCCTTGCAGGCGAGGGTTGGTGAGCACAGCAGGCAGGGGAGGCCACAGCTGCTCATCTCATTACACTGATGTAGCTGCAGAGCTTCCAGCAGCGGGGTGAGTACATCTGGTGCTGCCCTGGGGCCATCCTACAGCTCCCGGCTGCTGCAACCCGTGTTGAGCAGCAAACACGTGAAGAATGGCTGTTGTACAGGGGCTGTGTCTCGAGTGGATGGAACAGAACAACTTGAACGTGCTCGGGGCGCAAAGCACTCAAGGCTTTTACCTGGCAGCTCTTGCGTGTTGCATCCGTCCCGGGTAGACGCTGGCACGGAGGAGTGATGGTGTTGCTATTTGCTTTATCAGTTGTGGTAAACAGTCAGAGCCGTTCCAAGAAGCATCACGTCACTGGAGTGCTGTTTCATAATGTGTGTTTATGGGCTGCTCTCGGAGCTCACCTCGGTCGGAAGCAGGCAGTGATTCACTCCGTGGTGCCTCACTGCTCTGCCCCGCACCCATATGGACTGACAAGGCTCCCTTGCTCCAGACCGGTGCCTGTGGGAGCAGCAGCACGTCCTCCCTGATGTTCTCAGGTGAATACACTGCTGGTATTGGATCAGGAACCCTCTGCACCTCCAAATTCAAGCTGTGAAGGCATCTTAGGAAAGGGTTTAGAAATTAAGCTACCTGCCTGCAGTGAGACCTGTGTGGATCTGAGGGAGATGGGATTTTGTCTGGAAACCTGAGGAATCAGGGATGCTCAGGCAGCCAGGGCTTGTATGGCTCTGTTTATCATCCTCTTCCACTACTGGTTAGTAAAGCTTCATCAGCTCTTCGCTACAGGTTTCACTTCTTCCGTTTCAGTTTTAGGGTACAGGTTACGAGGATTCTCTTTCTTCTGCTCCACGTTAGAGCTTTAACCTAATGCTGAAGGAGCTGGAAATGTGTTCACCTTCCCACAAGGCAGCTTCTCTGTTCCTGATACTGCTCTGATTACAGCACCTGGGTAAACAGCTTTATCCTCCGAGCCAGCAGCCTGTGCAGAGCTGTGATTCGGCATCTCCAAGGCTGGGCTGGATTCTTCTCCATCTGAATGCTGAATCCCCTCAGGACCACAGCAGCGGCCCTGGGAAATGCCAGGTCGGAAAGCTGGCTGCTCCAGGGGCTGCAGGTGCCCTCCCAGAAGCTTCCCTGCATTACAATGAGCAGAGGAGGGAGTTTCCTGCTCCTCCTGGAGCCGAGCCCGTCACTTTCTCATCATCCATGTTCTTAAGTGGAAGAGCAGATGGATCAGTCGCTTCCTAGATACGAACCAAACACGGATGCGTTTGCAGACAGAGCTGCTCTTGTTTTGAAGGGAAGCATGGGGCTGACCTGGGCTAGGAGCAGCCCCGTCCTGCCCTCACCCGTGCCAGCCTCCCTCTGTCCTCTGCCAGCATCCCATCGATCATCCCCAACATTCCTCATTTCTCCCATCTGTTTATTCCCCCAATCATACCCCAGCAACTGACTTATTTTGCCGTGTTATGCAGATCTCTTTCTCCCTCCTCTGAATCCCGCCTCCTTCCCGACATGCTAATCCCTGTGCAGCTGAAGGCAATGTGTTACAGGATCCCTGCGGACCTCTTCAAGCTGCACTCAGCAGATGCTCCTGGAACTTCAGCTTTTGGCATGGTTAAAAAGAAGAGGAAGAGGCCTGCTAGCTGTAGAATAGGTGTGTGGTTGAAGCTGGCATGGAAACAGAAGCAGATATAAATCACATCCTATTTTCCCCCCCACCCCGAACTGAAGCAGAACCAAAACATCCTTTTGCTTCAATCAAACTAAAGCACAACAGTCAAACAAAACACTGCGGGGAGTAAACAGAGCTGTTCACTTGTCACTGGGAGCCGCAAGATCATGAACTGTGTGCAGGTCACAGAGCTGATGCTGGTGCACTGTATTGCCTGCGGTGACAACAAGCCCCTCACTACCCAAGGCCCGCTGCCGTAATGGCACTGCTCTAATGCGGGCTTTGTCCAGCCTGCTGTGCTCGTGGCTAGCGCTGTTGGAGCAGGATGCCTTGCATCTGAGCCCTGCGCTGCTCTGCATCCTCAGGGTCTGGACCACAGATGAACGCAGGTTTAGGAAATGCTGGACTTGCTTTCTCCTCCTCTGCTCCCCATGTTCAAGCCCAAGCCTTGCTGCCGTGGTGGGGGGTTTGTCCCAGCACCCAAACCTGCCCATGCTCTGCTCCCCGTGCAGCCTGGACCAACAGCCCATGCCATGGGATGCCTCCTGGCGTGGCCACTTGCGTGCCCAGCTCTGCCACCCACGGCTGGGGTGAGCTGGTGATGCCCGAGCGCAGAGCAGAGATGCTGCACAGGGGAGACGGACGAGGACCCAGCCCGGGTGCTGCTGGAGCCGGGTGGGTGCAGGACGGGCTCAGCTCCCTCCCACCCCTCCTAACCTCGCTGTGTGCAGGGGGACGCGAGGCGAGTCCCGGCCGAGGGCGGGCGGTGCCGGGGCTGCGGGAGCGAGCGGCGGAGCCCAGCCCTCGGCCGGGGCCGGGCCGGGAGGGGGCCGCCCCCCGGGGCCGGGCGGGGAGAGGCGAGTGGGGCCGGTGGGAGCGGAGCGGAGCGGGCATGGGGCCGCGGGCGGCCGGGGCGCTGCGGGCAACGCTGGCGCTGGGGCTGCTGGCGGCAGCGCAGCCCGGGCCGGCAGCTCGGCAGCGGCGGGACGCGGAGGTAGGAGCGGCACCGGGGTGCGGGGGACCGGGGAACGGGCCGGAGGGAGCGGGGGGGCCGGCACCGGCGTCGCGATGTCCTGAGCCAGGGCGTCGTGTGAGACCGTGCTATAGGGGTGTGTGAGCCCCGGTGTGCCCGTGCTATAGGGGTGTGTGAGCCCCGGTGTGCCCGTGCTATAGGGGTGTGTGAGCCCCGGTGTGCCCGTGCTATAGGGGTGTGTGTGCCCCGGTGTGCCCGTGCTATAGGGGTGTGTGAGCCCCGGTGTGCCCGTGCTATAGGGGTGTGTGAGCCCCGGTGTGCCCGTGCTATAGATGTGTGTGAGCCCCGGTGTGCTCGTGCTATAGGGGTGTGTGAGCCCCGGTGTGCCCGTGCTATAGATGTGTGTGAGCCCCGGTGTGCCCGTGCTATAGATGTGTGTGAGCCCCGGTGTGCCCGTGCTATAGATGTGTGTGAGCCCCGCTGTGCCCGTGCTATAGGGGTGTGTGAGCCCCGGTGTGCCCGTGCTATAGATGTGTGTGAGCCCCGGTGTGCCCGTGCTATAGATGTGTGTGAGCCCCGGTGTGCCCGTGCTATAGATGTGTGTGAGCCCCGCTGTGCCCGTGCTATAGATGTGTGTGAGCCCCGGTGTGCCCGTGCTATAGGGGTGTGTGAGCCCATGCTATATATGTATGCATGCCCCGGTGTGCTTGTGCTATAGGTGTATGTGTGCCCATGCTATGTATGTGTGGGAACCCCGCTGTGCCCATGCTATAGGTGTGTGTGAGCCCCAGTGTGCCTATGCTGCTGGGGTGCATGAACCTGTGCTATAGGGGTGTGTGAGCCCTGATGTGCCTGTGTTATAGGTGTGTGTGTGCCCATGCTATATGTGTGTGAGCCCTGGTGTGTCTGTGCTATAGGGGTGTGTGAACCCGTGCTATAGTTGTGCATAAGCCTGTGCTATAGATATGAACCTGTACTATAGGTATGTGTAAACCTGTGCTATAAGTGTGTGTGAACCTTTGCTATAGGGGTGTGTGAACCCTTGCTCTAGGGGTGTGTGAACCCTTGCTGTAGGGGTGTGTGAACCCTTGCTCTAGGGGTGTGTGAACCCTTGCTGTAGGGGTGTGTGAACCCTTGCTCTAGGGGTGTGTGAACCCTTGCTATAGGGATGTGTGAACCCTTGCTGTAGGGATGTGTGAACCTGTGCTATAGGGGTGTGTGAACCTGTGCTATAGGGGTGTGTGTGTGCCATAGATGTGCCTATGTGACAGGTGTGTATGTGTCACGGGTGTGTGCATACCATAGGCATGTGCCGGCCCCAAGTAGGCCCATGCTACTGGTGTGTGTGTTCCAAGGGTGTATAAATGTCATAGGCATGTGCATGTCATAGGTGTGTGCATGCCATAGGGGTGCCCATACCCTGGGTGTGCCCATGCCATAGGTGTGTGCAAGCCCCAGGTGTACTCATGCCATAGGAGTACAAGTGCCATAGGTGTGTGCTGTGCCATAGGCATGGACATATCCCTGAGGTACATTAACACCATAGGTGCATGCCCACGAGAGCCTGACGTTTGTTCATCCACGCGTGCTGTGAGTGCCTGTTATGTGTATCCCGCACAGGCACAACCACACATTGAGCCCCGTGTGCCACAAACTTCCCATCTCCAGGCAAATCCCAAGGGACAAAAACCAGGCTTTCCCCTCCTCTGGCTGTCCCATCGCCTCTGTTTGGATTTCCTCTTTTTGTCCCCCTATCATTGTCCCTCCATGCCCCATCCGTTCCTGTTTGGTGTGAGGTGTGAGGTTTGGCTGGTGAACAAAGGTTGTGTTGGGGATTTTCTCTTGTTTAGGCACCAATCCAGTGCACGTTTGCCCAGATGCTTGATCCGAAACCCCAGCAAATCCTAGTGCATTAACTGGGGTTTCACATGCAATAAATGCTTGAAGGGTTGTTTTAATGTGCAGGCTTCTCTGGGAGACGCTGTTCTGAAGAGGGGATTTATCCATGTGCTCCTCCCAGTGTGCCCTGGAGAAAAACAAACTTGCGAAGTTCTCAGTGCTCAGAATTCACTTCAGTTTCACTCTAAAAGCAGCTCGTTGGGGGCAAGAGCTGCCTTTGGGTTCCTCGCCGATGTCTTCCTGTCTCCCTGCCTCAGTTTCCCCGGTGAGATGTGCTGTGCTGGCCAGGGACCACGTACACAGTGGAAACACAGAGAACCTGGGCTAACAAAGCTTGTCTAAATGAAGTGAGCAGATAATGCTGCTTTTAAAGAGGGAGCTGAATGTCTCCTGTAGCATCCAATAGCTCCCGTGACTTGCGGCTTTCAGACCACTGCCAGGCTTTGCTTCTAAGGCTTTATTCTTATTGCTTTTAAACCAGGTGAAGTTTGCAGCAATGGGCTGTAAAAGTGGGATAAAGCACCCAGCGGTGTTGTTTTCCTGGCTCCTGCCCTGCTTTTCAGCGCCTTTGTGTCGATTGCCGCTCCAAGAGACAAAAAAGAAGTTAGGAAATCCAATTTGAACCATTTGTGTGCTAAATCCTGTCGTTATCTGCAGGCTCCAGGCAGGAGAAGGGCTGGAGCACGTAGCTTGGCAGACCTGGGTTGTGCTCGGGATGGCAGTTTGGGGGGTGTGGTAATGCCCGAGTCTCCCCGATCCCAGGGGAATGGTGTGGAATACAAGGCACAAGAGAGCTCATCCCGGTTTGGGAGTGAAGAGCAAGGCAGAGCGCTGGTGGGGCCAGGGGCAAAGGACCATAGAGCCCCTTGTGTGAGAAGCTACAGGTCTGATGTGATGGGAATCAAAGTTGGGTAGAAATCTGAGAAAAGCTGGGAATGGGAATGGGAATGGGGAGCGAGACTGAGGGACTGAGCCACTCTCATTCTGGCTTATTTTCTATTGGTATCTTCTTTGGTATCTTCTTTTCCTATCCTCCTTCTCCCTCTCTTACTTTTCCCTATCCTGTCCCTCTTCCCCCTGCACTTGACCTCTGACTTTGCAACCCAAAGGCTCACATTTAGCCTGGGCTCTGAGCCATAGCTGTGCTTAGAAACGCTCCAGTGTCCGGATGAGCTCCTTTATGGAGCAGACTTCCAGTCGGGATGCTGGATGTTGAGCGCTGCCTGGCTGGTGCGAGGGTCTCTGGTACCCTGTGGGCCTTGGGGTCAGCTGGGACCCCCGTGTGCTCCAGGGAACCCCCACATTGACATAAAGAGGAAGAAATCCTTCTCCCTGGGAGGAATTCCTTGCTGTTCAGCCTCTGCACAGCAATGGAAGGAGTGGAGGAGAGGAGGAAATACTCGGGTGCCATCGCCCCTGTGAGAGGATGTAAAACCCAAGGCTTTTGAGACAGTGTGGATGTGGGAAGTGGTTCCAAGGCACCCGTGTGCCGAGCAGCCCCTGAGTCACACAGTGTGAACAGCCCCCCTTTCTTCCCAGCTCCGTTCCCAGACAATCCCTGCCTGTTACAGGGAATAACGCCCGCCAGGCAGGGGGTTCCCATCCCGGTGGAGGGCGAGGATGGAGCGTCTGGCTTCCTTTCTCTCCTCTGACATGAAAGCAGAACCAGGCTGCGTGACCAGACTGGTTTGTCTGCTGCTCTGGTATTCGCAGGGGAAGGTTTGGCCAAGCCCTGTTCTATCCCTGCTCTCCCCAAGTGCTTTGGGTCGCATTCGCATGGCTCTGGAGCTCGTTTCCAATGCAGGAGTGAATTGTAGTGATTGCCGGTGAGATATCCCTCTATTTAACACGCACACAAGCAGTGATTTGCAGCCCCAGAAGCAGAGAACACCAACCCTGGTGTATCTCATGGTGTTTCTTTTCCTTTCGAGTGATGTTTGTTGCTCTTGTCCCGAAGCATCCCTCCTGTCCAGGCAGAGGGGGGGAGCAGGGAGCTCAGCAACCTGAAGATGCAGGTTACTGAAACCAGGAGGGGTTTTAGTCCTGCTTCTCAGCTCCAGAAGTGTGGAAACAAAAGGAGCTTAACAGAACCTGGGTGCAGATTCTCCCAGCTCCTCATCTTCAGTGGTAAGGAGGTAAACTGCTGCTGGAGCAGCATTTCAGGAGGGGCAGTTGGGAGAGGAGATTCCTTCAGGACCGGATTTGGCACAGGAGGGGAGCAGCCGGATGGGGATCAGGGTTTAATCCCCCTCTGTCATTAACATGCAGAATTAGCCGAGGTTCCGCTGTCTTTGCAGCAGGAGGATGCCCAAGTGCTTGCTAATCTCCCTTCTTGTGTGTCTCTGTATACAATATTTATACAGATACTTACACACACACTTAAACAAAAGACCCGAGGGCTCTGCCAAAGGGTTTGCAAGCGCAGGCAGGAATGTGGCTTGGGAGAGAAGAGACAAATGAGTGTGTTTAAAGGCAGCCCGCAGGCAGGTAGCAACCCAATGGGCAGGAGGAGATGCTGGGGTCAGCTCTGCTTGTGTCTGTGCTGTGCTTGAGGGAACCTGAGGCAGCAAAGCAGGAGCTGCAGCTTCCCCTGTGTCTGTCTTGGTGGTGCTGTGGGATGCAGCCTGGGGCTGATGGGCACCAGGGCTGAGGAGATCCCCTTGGGCTGCTGCTGTCTCATGATTCAACCCCAGGTCATCAGCTACTGTAACCATGGCTTGGAATTCCAGCCCACCCCGCGGCAGGATGCGATCGCTTCCCTCTGCTGCTGAGGGATGGAGGGGAGGGATGGGGCTGTATCCATGCGGAGCACAGGGGACCACAGTCAGCGAGAGCCCAACGTGAGGCTTCTCCATCACTTAAGTGGTGGAAAGGTGCCAGAAGCTGAGTGTGTGGAGTGGGGGCATGCAGGACCAGAGCCTGCTGCTCTGCACTGTTGTTATCCCGGTTTCCAGGGAGGGAGGTCTGATTGTATTTACTGCTGGCTGTGCTCCACTGGGATGCCTGTGGTCAAGGGCAAGGTGTTTCCTTGGCTTTAGCTCTCCGCAGAGATGATTTCCAGGGCTGTGTCCAGCTCCACATCAGAGCTCTGTGGTGGGAAGTGTCCCTCTTGTCAGTCCCAAACTCTCCTCCTGCTCTCCCTGCTGCCGCTCCAAAGGCTTTTCCACCCTATCACTGGCTCCTGGGCAGCTGGATCTTTCCTCTTTTCCCTCCCTGGTGCATAGCGGGAGCTGGGCATATTTCGTGTTAATGTTCAGCCCTTGGTTTCCTGCTGTTTTTCTTTCCCCATTGTATGGAAAAGAGCATTTCCCTGTCTGGGGCAGCCGGGAGGCGGTTTTCCCAGCATGGCCAGGCTTTGCATTGCAGCCTCTGGAGAGGTTTAATGGGATGTGCCAGCTTCCACACAGCCTTAACAAAGCCTGGCTGGTCCCAGGGGGAAGTGCAGGGCATGGGCAGTGCTGGAGGGGGTCTTGAGCACTAGTTTGGGCACAGGACACTGTGCTATGGGGCTCTTGGGTTCCCCTGTAGCCCTGCAAAGCGTCTGGTCCCCAGGGGCCAGAAGCTACAAGGAAACTGCTGCTTTGGTTGGACTTGCAAAGCTCAGGGAGACGTGGACAGATATAATAAAACCAGTGGCCTGTGTACATCGTGGTGCTGCTCAGGAGCAGCTGCTGCGACAGCCGTTGCTGTTTGCCATGTATGCTGATGGTCCAGATGGGGTTTCAAGCCTTCATGAGATCATGGTGGGGAAAACCCCGTTTTCATGCATGAAGAATGGGCTTGTGTTAGGTTACAGGGGAGGAAATAGCTTCAAATTGTTATGTTTTAGATGATGGGTGGAAGCAAAACTGTGGTAGGAAAGGTTTACAGACTGGGGCTCTGTCTGGGTGCTTTGGAGCTCGCATTTATCTGCGGTGATGTAAGTGCTGGGATTATCACCCCACATCCATATATGTAGCTGGTGCTTTTCTAACTGGAGGAGAACATTGTGAAAACACAACTGCAGAGAAAGAGGCCAGATCCCTCCTCCTCCTCCCCAGACTACTCTTCAAACCTCCCTGCCATGCATCCCTGTGAGGCTCCTCCATCCCCGTATCCTCCACTGTGTGCGCATCCTGTGTTGCTGCTGGTACCCATGTAAAGGGGGGATTTATCCCCCTGTGGCTGTGGAGGTGCCATGTCCAGGCTCTATGGTCCATCCTCATGCAGAGGTGGTGTAGCTTCACTCAGCAAACAAGCTCATGCCCGATTTAACCTCAGTGGGACGGGGTGCGCAGTGTCTGGGTGACACTGATGCTTTCACTGCTGCAGCCTGATGCTGCTCCAAGATGCTGGTACCTCCAGCCGAGTTGGAGAATGCTTTTGGTGGGAAGCACAACCAGGTTTTTAGGCTGGGGCTTTGGTGAAGAGCGTGTCCCGGCAGGAGGATGTGCTGGTCCTTGCTAATGGAACGGGATGCTCCAGGTAGAAGGGGTGTAAAGGAGGAGATCAGACTCAGCGGGTGCAGGAGCACATGGAAGGTGCCTGCCCTGCCTGCAGGGAGCTGGCGGGCACAGGGGATGAGTGTGTGGGGATGACGTGATGATGACTGTTAACAGCAAGCAAAGGGCTTGGGCAGGAGGAGGAGGAGGAGAGAGACATGCTCTGGCGCACCCCAGGGCTGCCATATCCAGCAACCGTTCCCAATCCCTGCCAGGCAAAGGGATGTGCCCAGGAAGGGTTGGGGGTGCAGTGGGATTGAGTCACCCTCTGGAAGTAGACAGTCAGGAGCAGCATCTTGTGCAGGTTAACACTCTCCCCCTGCTTTCCCCTGTCCTGAGACAAGCAGGATGGGAAGAGGCTTTAGAAGCCTGAGTTTCTGCAGTTCTGTCCCGGGGCAGCCCGTGGCATTCCCGGTGCTCAGCCCACATCTCCTCTGGGATGCGGGAAATGAAGCAGCCACTTTCCCTTTCTATTGCTCATTACTAGAGCTCCAGTTCTGCCCTCACAGGATGCTGAGCAGCTTGTTTGACCCCTGCAGACGGCCCCGGCGGGTGTGGAGCATTCCTGTGACCAGGAATATTCACTTCTCCGGGAGCTGGGGCACGGGCTGAGCAGAGGGAAGCTGTTTATTTTCCTTAACATGCAATTTCGGTGCTGGAGCCAGTTCAGAGCAACCATCTCCGTCCATGTCAAGGGCTGATAAGAAGAAGAATGGTTTGGCAGAGCAGATTGCCCCCAGAGCGTCTCCGCTTTGCAGCAGCACATCCTGCATGGGGATGGGGGGAGGCTGCAGCCTGACCCCGTCTCACCCCACTCTTCGTGCCCACAGCGCTCGAGCCTTTAACATAGTCATTGCGCTGAGCTGAGGTGATTCAAGCTGTGGGGTTGGTGGCTCTGCCCGCGGGTGACACGGCAGCAGGGCTTTCTGATCTGTTGGTAGCGATGTTTCCTCCTCCGCCTCCATCTCACCATGGCCAAACACCAAGAGAACCAAAAACACTGGGGGGGAGACACACATAACCCTGTGTGAGCGCAGGTTTGGGGTGCTGAGGTGCCAGGAATAAACCCAAGCTTTTCTGCCCAGTCCCATCTTTGCAGCACTGTTTCCCACCCCATCTCCAGTTTTCCCTTATTCCTAAGCTAATGCCTGCCCCTGCTCTGAGCTGTGCCTCTCCCATGTCTCTTCTTCCAGCTATTCCTGGAGAAATACGGCTACTTTGGGAAGCAGGCTCCCGGCACACACAGCCCTGATGAGTTCACGGATGCACTGAGGTACAAGCCTTTGTTTCACCCAAGCACTAACGCAGCAGCTCCGGCTGCACGGATGCTGCCGGCATCTCACACGCTCTGATGGTAAAGCACAACCGGCCCCTTCTGGAGGAGCTGGTCCGTGCCCAGCTGGATGCTGGCTGCTGGCAGCCCCGTGCCTCGCTGTGCTGCTTTATTTCCCTTTTATGGCCTGCTGCTCCCCATACAGCTCCCCATGCAGCGAGGCCAAGGTTGGGGATGGCTGGGAGATGTCAGGGGTGAGCTGACAGCCCCTGCTCGGGCTTCTGCTAATGGGAACACACTGACACTGGGAGCATCCCTGGCCTGACCCTGCTCGAAGTCAGGTGCAAAGTCAAACAACTGGGGCTACAAGCTGGAAAAGGCATTTTTCAGGCTCTTCTGTCCACTTTTGCCCTGCTAGGAGGCGGCTCACTGGTCAGATGTGGTTGCAGAGCAAAACCCTTCTGGTTTTATCACCTGGATGCGTTCCTGTTGGAGGGGCATGAAGCTCATCAGGTCAAACACGAGCGCACCCAACCCAGCTGCGGGATTTCGGATGTGTGTGCTGACGTCTCCCTTCCTTTCCCAGGGATTTCCAGCGGGTGACCCACCTCCCGCTCAGCGGGGTCCTGGATGCCCCCACACTCCATCAGATGGCTCTGCCGCGGTGTGGCACCGGTGATGGGGAGAGCCGCACTACAGGGACACAACGGGCACCCAGCACCCGGCGCCACAGGCGCACTGTGCAGCACGGTGAGCGCTGGCTGTGGGGTTCTCTGATGAGCTTTGGCACTCTGAATGTGCGTTGGTTATCCGGCAGTAACCACAAAACCCGTTGGTGCTGGCGCAGCCTGGCCGAAGGGAGGTGTTCCAGCCACATTAAGGGGTTTAACTCTGCTCCGAGCAACTTCTCTTGCTGCTGAGTGTCCAGGATTTGGCCTCTTGTCTCCCACAGCCTGCCTCCCAGGCTTGTGGGTGAGTAACTGGATTCCTAGAGAGCAAGAGGGCTGGGGCCAGCTGCGCTTAAGACATGGGAAAAATGAAGGCGAGATTAAGAAAGGGCTCTGTGCCTTGTCAGGCTGTCTCTGCATCTGGCAGGGCTGGCGATGGACGGCCCCAGGAGACATCCCCATCATCCTCCTCCTGCCTCTGGCTTTCCTTACAAACCCCTGATACACAGCACCACTCCTGCAGGCTCCATCCTGCAGGCAGAGGGGATGCTGTGCCCAGGGCATGGTGATGAGGCAGAGAAGGAAGGGCTTTAAAAGCTCCGGTGGTCTGGTGGTGGCAGATCTGTGCCAGCAAGCTGGGGTGCAGTGGCACTGCAGGTGGCAGTGCCTGCAGGCAGAGGGGTGGGAGCAATGCCATGGCAGTGCCTGCAGGCAGCAGGATGGGAGCGATGCCATGGCAGTGCCTGCAGGCAGAGGGGTGGGAGTGATGCCATGGCAGTGCCCACAGGCAGCGGGATGGGAGTGATGCCATGGCAGTGCCCACAGGCAGCGGGATGGGAGTGATGCTAGAGCAGTGCCTGCAGGCAGAGGGATGGGAGTGATGCCATGGCAGTGCCTGCAGGCAGCAGGATGGGAGTGATGCCATGGCAGTGCCCACAGGCAGCGGGATGGGAGTGATGCTAGAGCAGTGCCTGCAGGCAGAGGGATGGGAGTGATGCCATGGCAGTGCCTGCAGGCAGCAGGATGGGAGCGATGCCATGGCAGTGCCCACAGGCAGCGGGATGGGAGTGATGCCATGGCAGTGCCCACAGGCAGCGGGATGGGAGTGATGCTAGAGCAGTGCCTGCAGGCAGAGGGATGGGAGTGATGCCATGGCAGTGCCTGCAGGCAGAGGGATGGGAGTGATGCCATGGCAGTGCCTGCAGGCAGTAGAATGGGAGCGATGCCATGGCAGTGCCTGCAGGCAGTAGAATGGGAGCGATGCCATGGCAGTGCTTGCAGGCAGTAGAATGGGAGCGATGCCATGGTAGTGCCTGCAGACAGAGAGATGGGAGTGATGCCATGGCAGTGCCTGCAGGCAGTAGAATGGGAGCGATGCCATGGCAGTGCCTGCAGACAGAGAGATGGGAGTGATGCCATGGCAGTGCCTGCAGGCAGTAGAATGGGAGTGATGCCATGGCAGTGCCTGCAGACAGAGATGGGAGTGATGCCATGGCAGTGCCTGCAGGCAGTAGAATGGGAGTGATGCCATGGCAGTGCCCTCAGGCAACAAGGAGGGATGGTGCCCACATGGCTGGTGGCCCCGTCCAGGAAGGCCGGAGGCTTTGTGCTAAGCTGGCTGTTTATCCGCTTGGAACAGGAAGCCAATGCAGCTGAGCCAGCAAAGTGCTTCGTTACCCACCCATCTCCCAGCAGGAAATTGGGGTCTGCAGTGCAGGGCACTGGGAAGCGATCACTTGCTTCCAGCTGCCTTGCTGGGCTTTATAGGCACTGGAGCTGGGCGGGAGCTCTGCTGACCAGCAGGACCGTGGCCAGATGCATGTCGTGCAGCCAGCATCCTGGATTTCCCCTTGGGGAGATCCCTGCCGTCATTATCCTGGGCTTAGTGGCTGTGTGTGTTGCCCAGCCTTCCTCTTGCTGAGAGCTGGCCCCATTTACCTCACCCAGCCTGGCCTGCTGGTGCTCTTACAAGGGAGATGCTGTGGCTGGAGCCTCCTATCCCCTGCCAGCTGGTGCCATCCATCCTTCTCCAGCAGTAGATGCTCTGCTCCTGTGGAGGGAAGGATGGGATGCCAGGGCTTTATCTTAGACTGCAGCCATCTAGGCAGGTATTGAGCCTTTGCCATGCAGGGAATTGTCCTGGCTGGAAAGCAGAGCTGTGTGCCTTTAGACTTGGAGGCTGTTGCTGCAATGATGAGCAGGAAGAATTGATTCTGCCCCAAGGATTGCAACCAGCTGGCCCAGGGCCACTGCTCAGAAATGGGGGAGAAGGAAACAGAGGGGTGGGATGGGATTGGGTGGGATGGTTTGGGATGGGATAGGATGGGGTGGGATGGTTTGGGATGGGATGGGATGGGAGAGGATGCGATGACCACCAGGTTTGCATAGCTCAGACCCTCAGCAGTGATTCCCGGTGTGCTGCAGGCTCCATTCCCACTGTTCCCCGCACAGCTGGAGCAGGCACTGGAGATCTGTCCCTGCTCCCATGCCTCAGCACAGGTGCTGGCACCCGCATCTCCCCAGCGCGGCCCCATGGCATCTTTCCCACTCCTGGACAGCCCTGGATGCATGTAATCATGAGGCCCCGGGGTCCCCAGAGCTGCCGAGGAGGAGGAGGGAGCTGTGATGCTCGGGGAATGAGCACGCATCTTTGCACCCCTGTGTGGTGGGAGGGGGACTGGCAGCTTAGAGGGGTCTCACAGGCTCATCCCCTTCATTGTCACCATCTGCCCTGGTGGCATCCAAGCTCTGTCTGCCCTGAAAGGGTTTATAAGGGAGCTACGTAGGGCAGTAAGATCTGCGCTGCTAGTAAATCGATGCTTTTAAAATGAATGGTGAGCAGTGGTTTGCTCCTGCTGGGTTACCCCCGGCTGGGCTTCCAGGCAATGGCTTCTGTAGGTAGAACTGGTCAGGATGCCCTTAGAAGCAGTGAAAAGACAGCCCTAGCCTGGGGACCTGCCTGCTTCTCCTGGCTCACTGTCTGCTGTGTGCGCATTACACACACAGGTATGTGCTTGCTGCAGGCTGAATGATGGACTGGGGTCCCTGGGTGGGTGATGGAGATCAGCATCTGCTTTATAGCAGAGGTGGCTTTGTTTTCTCTCCCTGGAATCCAGTCCTTGGGCTGCATCTTCTGGGCATAAAGCTGGCATCAGAGAGCTGCAGGTCAGGAACCCATGTTGGATTGGCCCATGATGAGGCAGGAGGGGTTCAAAGTGGGTGCCCCAGCTTCCCCTCTCCTCAAACAGGTTTCGGCCCCTCTCTTAGGGTTCGGTTGCATCTCCATCCATGGGAATGTGGGTAGGATCCGGTGGAGACACCTTCAGATGGGTTTAACGGGTTAGATCCTGGTGCAGGATGCTGATGCTGGTGGTGGGACTCCTGGATTGACTTTCACTTTCAGCTTGGAAAAGCCATGGCTCTTCCCAGCACCGGGATGCTTTCCTCCAGCCAGGACGGAAGAACAAGCCCAGGTCCCCATCCTTGTGCTGAGCTTGTCCCTCTTGCAGGCGGGAGGTGGTACAAGCGGCACCTGACGTACCGGGTGGTGAACCGGCCCCCGTACCTGCCGCAGCACGAGGTGCGCCTCGCCGTCAGAGCCGCCTTCGAGCTCTGGAGCAACGTGTCCTCGCTGGTGTTCTGGGAGGTGCGCGACGGCCCCGCCGACATCCGCCTCACCTTCTTCCGTGGGGACCACAACGACGGGCTCAACAACGCCTTCGACGGGCCAGGTGCTGGTCGCTTACCCCGCGTAAGCTTCTCTTTTACCACGTGGGCTCTTCCCCGGCAGGGAGGAGGGCTGGGGAGGGGGGATGGAGGCAAGGCTCTGCCCAGAACCCAGTTTGCTTTCTGATTTGGGGTCTTCACTCCCAGCTCTGCAACCGAAGCTTGCCAGCGAGGCAGCTGAGATGCTCATTATAGGATCACGTCCTCCCCGCCCTGACAGCATCCCGCAGACCTGAGCTCATTCCGTCCAGCTGAGCCTTTCTGCTTACCCACCATCAGACAAGCCCAGGGCTTCTCTCTTCCTGAGCCTTTCCCAACATGGGTCATTGTGGTGGCTTCAATCCCTGGCCCGAGCCCAGCAAGAAACCAAACGCATGAACCACAGAGCATGCAGCTGGTTTGGGTTGGATGGGAACAGCCATGGGAAGCCGCTGCGCTCCCAAAGGCCTAAAACTGATGCACATTTAAGCTCGGGGGCTGCATGTGCCCCACTGCCCCTGTTTGTGGCTGAGGCCCTCTCCTGCCCCATGGTCCCTGATGGCTCTTGTGTCCCCAGGAGGTGCCCTGGCTCACGCCTTCTTCCCCCGGCGTGGTGAAGCCCACTTCGACAGCGCCGAGCGCTGGTCCCTGCACAGCGGCAAAGGGCGCAACCTCTTCATCGTGGTGGCCCACGAGGTCGGGCACACGCTGGGGCTGGAGCACTCCCCAGTCAAGAGCGCTCTGATGTCTCCCTACTACAAGAAGCTCGGCAAGGATTTTGTGCTGAGCTGGGACGATGTCTTGGCCGTGCAGAGCCTGTACGGTGAGCACGGCTTCTCCGAGCATCCCTGCGGTGGAGAGCGAGGAGCAGGGATGGGAACAAGGGGAGGGGGCTACATGGAAAGGGCATGGTGGGGATGGGCTTCGTCCCTTTGCAGCTGGGGAGGAAGATGCGGTAGGGCATGTGGGATGGGTACCAGGCCCTCCGGGGCAGGGAAGGCTGGGCTTGCTAGGTGCTTGTTTGCAACCAGGGAAAGGACGGTGCATATGCTTTGGGGGTAATAAGGGGTCTTTTCTACTGCTATATAGAGGGGGACAGGTACCAGAGAGTGGGATAAAGGAGTGTTTGGAGCCCAGCTTTGTGGTCACATAGTGCTTTGGGGAAAGCCAGTTCCATGCCCCTTCTCTGCAGCTCACACCCCTTGCTCCATCCCAGGGAAGCCATCCAAGGGCTTGGCCATCCAGCTCCCGGGGAAGGTCTTCACTCACTTCCAGGACTGGAGCACAGATCCTTACGGTGGGGATCGGCAGCAGAGGAGCCCCAGTGCCTATTACTGCCACTCCTTCTTCGATGCCATAACTTCTGGTGAGTGCTGGATGGTGCAAACCTCTCCCAGAACATGCACCCCTACCCTTTGCTCCAGCTTGCCCCAGCTTGCCCCTTGCTCTGTTGAGCTACAGTGGTGGGAAAGGTGGGTTTGGCTGACCCGGTACCTGCTCCTGGGGCTGATGGCATCACTGGTGCACATCGCTGCCACAAAGTCCATCGTGAGGATGCAGCAATGGCTCAGTGTGTTAGGAGCAGGGAAAACATCCTAGCACTTGGCCATGGCAAAGGCTTATTCGCTGCAGGAACTCAAGTGTGAAAGACAAGCCTTGAGCAGGAGCTGTGCTCAGCTTTTATCCTCTCCAGGCTGGAGACAATGAACGATGAAAGCAGGGAGGTGTAGCTGGAAAGGCAGAATGGAGCATCCAAAACCTGAGTGTCCTCAAAGCACTGCATGGGGAGGAGAGGGGAACCGGCGCATGGGAGCTGGGGTGGGGTTTCTCACCCGGGACATCCTCACTCCTCCCTCTTCTCTGCAGATGGGGATCACAACATCTACATCTTCAAGGGCAACCACTACTGGATGGTGCCGGTGCACGGCAACGCCAGTGACCCACAGCCACTGCAGAACCGCTGGCCTGGCCTCCCTGCTGGCATCGATGCCGCTGCCTGGTCCCAGAGCAGCAATAAGTTCTACTTCTTCAAAGGTAGGTGAGCAGGATTGCTCCTGCCTCTGCCCTGGCTGCCTGGTGTCCACAGCACCTACTCCTGCCCGTGATGCCCACGGTACAGGGAGGGAGCATCGCTGCGTGCCCGGTGTGCTGAACCCCACAGGAGCCCTGTGCGTGGCCTTGGCGGTGTCACCCCCGCAGCCTCAGTTTCCCCATACAGTAGAGCAGCGCTCACTGGTGTTTAACAACAAAACCAGATGCATCAAACCCTTTGGGGTCTCAGGGAGAACATGTCCCCTGTAACACATGGGCAGAGGGGAGCTGAGAGCGGTGTTTTCATGGTTCCCTGCGCCACGCTAGGGGCTGAGCTGCTGTGGGGAGCTCAAATGCCATCCACAGGCTGGCTGGGTAGAGGGAGGTCAAAGCAGGCAGCCCCACTGCAGGGTCAGCCACAGCTTTGAATGGAAACCCGGAGCTGGCTGGTCAGAAAGGGGGCTTTGTTGCTGCGGCTGGGTGAGAGCCAAAAGCCCCTCTGCCTCCACAGCCCTCGGCTGCTCCCTCCCTCCCTATGGCTGGAGCAGGCTGCGGCTTGTGAGCAGAAAGAGGCTTTTGTCTGCCTGCTTTGTGGGGATAAGGCTCTGTGGGGAGAGCTGAGCGCTCAGCCCCGGCTGCAGTTCCTGCTGCGGCAGCACTGCTCTGGATCTGTGCCCCACACACTGGGGAACAAGGGGGAGGCTTGCAAGGCAGCAGCATGGGCTAGCAGGCAGCACGGGGGCTTTGCTCTGTCCCCGGGGTCCCTTTTGATGCCTCCAAGCCACCGTGCCTCAGTTGCCCCACATCCCGCTCCATGGGTGCTGCTTGGATCACCAGCAGGGTGGATGTCGCAAGGCCCCATGGCAGGACCGCCCCGGGATGGACCCTAACCTCTCCCCATCTCTCCCTAGGAGGGAGATGCTGGCGCTACGCGGGCTCCAGCTTGGATGCAGGTTTCCCTCTGAAGTGCAGCGCCCGCGGGCTCCCGCGGCACCCGGACACGGCGCTGCACTTCCAGCAGCTCCAGCGCATGGTGCTCTTCAAGGGACCCAAGTACTTCGTGCTGGGCGAGGAGCCCCTCGCCCCGGAGCCCTATTACCCTCGCAGCCTGCGGGACTGGCAGGGGCTGCCCTCGGGCACCGCGGGTGCCCTCACCCACCGCGACGGCTCCGTCTACTTCTTCAGGGATGAGCGGTACTGGCGCTTCCACCCGGGGAAGCTGCAAGTGGTGGCCAGCGGCAAATGGGCGGCAGAGCTGCCCTGGATGGGCTGCTGGGATGCCGGCGGTGGGCAGGACCTCTTCTGAGCTGGACAAAACAGGGCTCTGAGCCCCTGCCTGCAGCCCTCTTGGTGTGACTGAATGGGAGCGGTTTGGAGGGGACCAGCAGGGTGGCTGGAGCCGTGCGTGATGCAGTGGGGATGGAGCCGTCAGCCCCAGCGGCTCCGCCACGGACAGAGGCTGGAGGCTTGGAGAGACAATGTTAAGACTGCAAAGCAAGGGTATAAGCCATGAGACTGCAGTGCTCCTTCCCGTGAATGGTCAGGGGATCGTTGTGCATGTGTCTTCCACACTGGGACTGGGGGCTGTTGATCCTTTAGCCATGGCCAGGCAAAGAAGTGCTTTGCCATTGCTCACCTTGGGCTTTGGGGGGGGTTAAATAAGAGCCTCGAGAATGTTTCCTGGTTACAACCAAAGAGAAAAGAGAGAATGGGATAAAAACCCCGGGTCCATGTTGAGCTTTGCCGTGTTGTGTGCACAGACCCCTGCTCCTGCCTCCTCCATTCCTTCATCCCAGGATGGAGGATGAGCCCTGCGGTGCCGTGCTGGGTTCACATCCCAGCTGCAGACACGAACACTGCGGGGTTTCGGGGGTGAAGAGGGTTTTGGTGTAAGAGCCTCTATGAGGAAGGGAGGGCTGAGCTGCTGACTATGGCACTCGCAGGCAGCAGGAGCACTGCAGCCAGGCTTTATGATGGGTGGGTTCTCAGGTGGCTAATAAGGGCTGTGCTGAGCTGGCAGCTTTTCTTGTGCGCAAAGTGTCCTCCATCTGCAGCAGACAGGATCAACCTGCCTTTGAGTCCTGCGCCACAGTTGGATGTGAATAACTGGCACAGCACTGGCGGAGGAGGACAGACGGACGTGTCCGTGCACGCTTGCGAGGACAGCTCGGCTGCACCAGTCCTCATTCCTTTCCCAAAGCAGGTTCTCCACCTGGAAACGCTGCTGGCTCCTGCGCACTGAGTCACCGGTCCCGTCTGCAAAGGGCCATTGTCTCCCATAGGAGATGACTCTCTCTGGTGGGGGAGTGTCAGGCCCCCAGGGCTTGAATTCAGTGTCGCCGATCATTGGTGCTGAGCAGGTGCTGAGCTTCATGATGTGCTTTGATTCGAGGGATTTAGGGATTTTCACCGTGCTGGGCTGACGGTTCACTGATGGCTCGCCCAGGACTCAGTCCCAGCACTGGGTGCCCTGCTTTGGCTGTGTTATGGTGCTGTGCTGGGGTGCTGAGCTCGGGGGCCATGTCAGCATCCCCTCCCAGTGCCAGCATCCTCTGCTTGCCCTCTCCCACCCTGGACCTTCCCACAGGGAAGGCAGGAGCTGCCTTGGCCCAGGCAGGGCACTGGGCTGGTGCTTCCTGAGGAATCCTGCTGCTCTCCTGGGTTTGGGGTTTCATTTCCTTCCCTTGCTTGTGCAGTGTTTCCAGAGGCTCTGTGCTGTCAGGATGCCTTGTGGTCACGGGTGATGCTGAGCAATGGGGTGACTGCTGCATCGCCTGAACCCCACAAGGGTGGGGGGACCTGTGGGAGATGGATGTGCATCCTGAGCCGTGCAGTCAGCCCCGCTGGTTGAAACTCCTGCTTCACAAGTGTCCTTTTCTGCTGCTGGGCTCCCTGGCACACGGCAGGCACAGACTTTTCCGGCCTCCGTGCATTCCCGGCCCCTGGAATAGCTGGGATTCTTGCGTTTCCTCCCCCAAAATGACACTGAACAGACAGTTATCTGCAGTGAGCATCCTCCAGGGAGAGGACAGGGCCCTGGACACAGCAAGAAGCCCCCGAGCCCAGGAGAGGCTCCATTTCAGTCCCAAGGTCAAGCACATCCCTGGTGGGTTTGTTTGCACAAGTATCTGGGTGCTGGGCAGCTCTGGGTTAGGGAGGGAGTCTCCGACATTCCCAGCAGTGCCCACTCATCCATGTAGTCATTCTCTTAAAGCCCCAGCTCTTGGGATCACCCCATCCATGGAGGAGCTCGGCTTTTGCCACAGACCTCGCTGGCATGGGCAATTTGGGATGAAGTTTGCAAGGGATCACAGTGCAGACAACCCCCAAAGGTGGGATGCAATCAACGCCCCCCTCATGCTCGTTGTATGGATCTGCTTTTCAGAAGGAGGTTTGGGGGAGAGGACTGATGCGTTTGTGCTGTGATTTGCAGCTCCCACAAAGGGCTGAGCCCTCAGGCAAAGGGAGCTGGTCCTTGCAGGGAGCTGCTCTGGTCCCCAGCCTTTGGGGGTGACAAGACCTGTCTGTCGCCTGCAGCGGGATCAAGGGATCATCGTGAGTTCAAGTATAGGGATTTGCACCCAAACTTGAACAAAACCACCGGCCTTTTTATCAGGAGATGAAAGCAAATGACGGGGTAAGTGAAGATGCTGTGATCAGCCTGGGGGCTGTGGCTGATGGAGGGGGAGCAGAGGGGTCCGGCACTGCTCGGCTCTCAGTCCTTGCTCCATGTCTTGGTGGAAAGCACAGAGCGATCCATGGCAGTGGTGTCTCCATCAGGATCAGCCCCCTCCGAGGCCTCTCTGCCCTGATCCCCACTGCTTTGGGAAGCGCTTGCTTCAGGGTTTGGCTTTCCAGCTCCTGGTGCTGCTGTGCTGCATGGAGCAGACAGGAGGGATGCAGGGGGAACTGGTGTGAGCATCACCCCCATGATGTGATCAGGTCCTCACACTGGACCTGCACTCAGCCTCTGGGCACCCCATCTAGAGAGGAGGGAGCCCTGCCCAGCATCACCCATGCTGGAGGTCCCCTGTTTGGGTTGGCTCCTCGCCACGGTGTGTTTGGGCTTGCACAGCACTCGGTGGCACCTCAGCTGCGTCTGAGCTTCTGAAATGGGTGCAAAGAGTGTGACTGCCTCAGGGCTGTAATTCAGGGTACCAAGCCCTGAAGATGCATCTTGTAGGGCCCTCAGATCCTGGAGGTGGGTGCAAGGGTGGCGTGAAGGGGGAAAATCCCCCCTCTTTTGGTTGTGAGCAACTCGGGATGCTGAGGAGCTGCTCCCTAACCGCCTCCTGCCCCAGATCCAGGGGCCTCTGGGAAAATCCAGCCCTGGGGTGGCTGGGGAAGAAGGAGCAGGAGGAGGAGCAGGTGCTGAAGGGTTAACGGGGAGTGTTTGCAGCCGGTCCCTTGTCACCAAGGAGAAGGGAGCAGCACTTGGGAAGGAAACAAAACACCCACTGCCCAGGAGGGCGATTTCCTTTCCCCACGCTGCGTTACAGCCCTCGGACCCCAGAAGGGCTCCTGACACCACCGGGACAACGGCGTCGCCATCCCGGGTGGCCGAGAGCACGCGGCACCGGGTGAGTGTGGCCGGTGGGGAGGTGGGCTGGGGACACGTCCCCATCACCCGTGTCCACACCACCCATGTCCCCATCACCCTTTCCCTTCCGTCTCCTCCCAGTCTTATGGCAAAATGTGGGGGCCGCCGTGCCCGGCGGTGCGCAGCATCCGTCCCTACCGCTCCAGCGAGCAGTACCTCTATGCCATGAAGGAGGACCTGGCCGAGTGGCTGAAGGAGCTCTATGACCTGGACATCGAGGTGGGCACCTTCGTGGAGGCGCTGGAGACGGGCTCCGTGCTCTGCTCCCACGCCAACAACGTCACCCACGTGGCCGCGGAGTTCTCCCGTGCCTGTCCCGATGCAGCCCAGCACCTCCGCCTGCCCGCTGCCGGTGTCGCCTGTAACGTGGCCGCGCAGCCCGGCACCTTCCAGGCTAGGGACAACGTCTCCAACTTCATCCAGTGGTGCAGGAAGGAGATGGATATCAAAGGTAAGGTGCCAGGCTGAGCATGACTGGGTGCGATTCCCCCATGGCTGCTCCTGGCATCACCCTGTGGGTTTTCCCATACGTCCCACAAAGCCAGTGCCACCCAGCACCATGGGCACACGTCCCAGAGCTGGGATTTCTTGCACAAGCTCCTCCAGGCTTGGCAGCAGGGTGCTGGCACTCGGATGATGTGTTTGCTTGGGTGCTGGAAGGGTGGAATTGGAAAGGATGCATGCTACGGCATGATCCCAAACATCATCCCGTCAGGCGCAGTCCTGGCTCTGAGCAAAGGGTCTCTCACCCTGTCCCCACCATCGGTGCGTGCCTGGGAAAAGCATAGGCATGGAGTGACACAACCTCTGCACACCGGGTTTTGTGGCTTTGGGATGCCATGAGAGAGCCACAGTGATTTCACTTGTGGATGCTCAAGGAGAAGGCTCTTTACCCCAACTCTCATGGGACCATTCCTAGAGGGATGGCTTCAGGGAACAACATCCCTTCGGGTGGATTTTGACTCCACCTGTGCCCCATATTCCCCTTTGTCCCCATCCCCTCGCACCGGCCCTAGCTCAGCCCAGCCTGCCCTGCCCCAGATGTGCTGATGTTCGAGACGGAGGACCTGGTGCTGAGGAAGAATGAGAAGAACTTTGTGCTGTGCCTGCTGGAGCTGGCGCGCCGTGCCGCCCGCTTCGGGATGCGCGCCCCGACCCTAGTGCAGATGGAGCAGGAGATCGAGGAGGAGCTGCGGCAGGAGCTGGACCTGCCACCCACAGACATCCCCCTGCCCCGGGCCCCCCGGAAACCACGGGACCTCCACAACCTCGACCAGATGGTATTGGAGGGGCAGGGAGCGGGATGGGGATGGGGATGGGGATGGGGATGGAGATGGAGATGATGGAGATGGGGATGGGTGGAGACAGAGATGGAGATGGGTGGGGAAGGGTATGGCAATGGAGATAGAGATGGGTGGAGATGGCAATGGAGATGAGTTGGGAAGGGGATGGCGATGGGGATGGAGATGAGTGGAGGTGAAGATGACAACGGAGATGGAAATGGGTGGAGGTGGAGATCGTCACAGAGATGGAGATAGATGGAGATGGAGATGGAAATGGTATGGCGATGGGGATGTAGATGGAGATGGGTGGGGTAGGGGATGGGGATGGGGATGGAGACAGGTGGAGACGGAGATGGAAATGGGTGGGGAAGGGTATGGCAATGGAGATGGAAGTGGGTGGAGGTGGAGATGGCAATGGAGATGGAGAGAGATGGAGATGGAGATGGGGAAGGCCAAGGGGATGGGGATGGAGATGGAGATGGGTGGGGTAGGGGGTGGTGATGGGGATAGGGATGGAGATGGAGATGGGTGGAGATGGAGATGGGTGGGGAAAGGGATGGCAATGGAGAAGGAGATGGGTGGAGGTGGAGATGGAGACAGATGATGGAGATGGAGATGGGGATGGCGATGGGGATAGGGATAGGGATGGAGATGGATGGGGATGTCCACCCCAGGACCTTTCCCAGTGACCACAATGAGGACCTATCCCTGGTGCCTGCAGGTCCAGCACCTAGTGAGCCGCTGTACCTGCCCCGTCCAGTTCCCCATGATCAAGATATCTGAAGGGAAATACCGTGTGGGTGACTCTGACACCCTC